GCTTGTTTGTAGGTGACCAAATACTTATTTTCCACCATAATTTGCAAATAAATTCATAAAAAATCCTACAGTGTGATTTTCTGGATTTTTTTTCCTTAATTTGTCTGTCATAGTTGACGTGTACCTATGATGACAATTACAGGCCTCTCTCATCTTTTTAAGTGGGAGAACTTGCACAATTGGTGGCTGACTAAATACTTTTTTCCCCCACTGTACATAGATGGAATCGTAACAAGTAGGGCAGACAGTATTGTTCTAGTAGACTGCAGTTCTGTCTATCCATTTGGGCACACACCACAGACACACACACACAAACACACACAGTTCTACGTGGACATTAGGGCTTTAGGGAGTCAGGAAGAGGATGTTACATCTAGAAGTCAAGAGGGTCACCAGTTCTAAAACAACTTTACAGCCCAACTACTTCCTGCTCCACAGCATTGTTTCCTGCTGCTGCTTCCGGCCACTGACCTCTTAGCCTAGCCCAGTTACACTTCATTGTGTATTATTGCACAGTATTTTGTGAAACTGCATCAACCACTCCATTCTGGGTCTCCATGTGTGGCTATGTTTCATAGACAGAGAGAGAAAGAGCAATAGAGAGAGAGGGAGAGAGAGAGAGAGAGAGAGAGAGAGAGAGAGAGGAGAGAGAGAGCGAGGGAGAGAGAGAGAGAGAGGATGGAGGGGAGCAGAGAGAGCGAGAGAGAGAGAGAGAGAGAGAGAGAGAAGCAGACGGCGAAATCGCTGAGCAGAGAGAGAGAGAGAGAGAGGAGAGAGAGAGAGAGAGAGAGAGAGAGAGAGAGAGGAGCTAACCCATATGTCAGACAATATCATGCCCTGTGAGGCGTAGCACTCTAGTGGATCTGACAGAAAAACTATCTGATTTGAGGACAGAGCTTTCCGGCTGGCCGCGTTGGCAGCTGAAGAGACAGCAGTGACATGCCACAGTGATGTGTGTGTGTAGTCTGCTCTCTGAGGACCAGTGGTCAGGGCAGTACTCTCAGCTGGCCCTGTATTGTTGCTCTCCTCTCCTCCGACACACAAAGACCTCTCCATCTGGCCCAGGATGGACCCTATCCCCTATGTACTGTCCCCATAGTCCCTTATGTACTGTCCCACTCCACTGTCCCCATTGCCCCTGTGTGTCCCTACAGTCCCTGCATATGTTCTCTTCCCCTTGTCTCTGTGTCTGCAGTTCACAGTCAACATCAACCCTACTGTCCCTCAGCACTGTCCTCTTTGTCCTTCTGTCTATTCTCGGCCCCCCATTCACATCACTGTCCTGTCTTAACTGTCCTTATAGTCCTCACAGTGTTGCTCCTCTATTTCACAGTCCTGTCCTCAGCCCCTGTCCTTGTATAGGGTGAAGGCCTTGGCTAAGCACTAAAGGTCTCTCTCCCCTTCTCCCCTCTCTCTGTAGATCCACGCCAGTGATGTGATGGCTATTGGCTGCCCACTGTTCCGCTGGGGCGAATGGGAGGGCCTGATTGGCTGAATGGGTGGTGTAGTCATGGAAACTGGCCGGAGCCCTGTGTGACCCGGTGAAGGCCACATGAAAGCTGCTCAGTTAGGAAAGAGGCTGAAGCCTGATAATGTGATCTCTTTCATGTTGAGGCCATCAGGGTTATCAGGGTGGGTTTTGTTCCGTCTAGATACACTTTAGTGACAATGCTTTTTTTGGACGTTGAAGAGAACTGTCAGGAAAGTGACTTTTTTCAACTCACCACCATCAGGCCACTTGCAGAAGCCTTCTACAATTGCTGCTGACCTACTAGGTACTGTTCCTGTTAAGCGACAGTAGGAACTAGGTGGAGGTGATACGTGATCACTAGTAGAGGGGAGTTGTTGGACGGAAGATGAAAAAGTGATACTCACGCGAGAGATGAGGTGGAGAACCCAAAGCGAGAGGTCTGCTACCTACTGGAAGCCGAAAACACGGAGAGACGGAGACGAGAGAGAGAGGAGTTGAGAGAGAGAGGGGAGAGGAGAAGAGAGAGGAGAGAGAAGAGAGAAGAGAGTGAGGAAGGAGAGAGATGGGAGAGAGAGAGAGAGGGAGGAGAGAGAGAGGAAAGAGAGGAGGGGAGAGAGAGAGAGGAGAGAGGAGAGGGGGAGAGAAGAGAGAGGAGAGAGGAGAGGAGGAGAGAGAGGAGGAAGAGGAGGAGGGGAGATGAGATAGAGTGAGAGGAGAGGGAGAAAGAGAGCGGAGGGTGGGAGAGGGTGCAAGATGGAGGGGAGGGGGAGAAGGAGGAGAGAGAGAAGAGTGAGTTAGACAAGTTACACAAAACAGATGTATATAAACAGACATACAGAGTCAGTCGCCACAGGTGCATAATATACAGCAGCTGAAAGAGAGAGTGAGAGGAGAGAGAAAAGGGAGAGAGTCAGTGACTCCAGGGTGGGTGTGTGTCTGCCTGCATGTGTGTGTGTGTGTGTGCGTGTGTCTGCCTGTAAGTGTGTGTCACTTCCCGGTGAAGAGCCCTCTGTAATCTGTATGTTAATACAGCCTGCCTGCCATCCCACTCTGCCTCGGCTGCTGGCATAGGAGATCAGCCATTAATAGAAAGTAAATGTGTTTGCAAAAAGGGGGACGAGTCACTTGAAATGGGACAAATGTATTCGTTATTGAGTTGAGTGTGACTGAGCGTGCCCAGTAGGTCAAGCATAGGCGAGGGAGGATAGTGGAATCACCTGCAGCGAGGCACTGACTGAACTACACACACTCTACTCTGACCTCCACACACTCATACTCAAATACACACACATACACAAATAGTATGCACGCAAATACACAGACAGCACGAATACATATACACACTGTGTACACTCAAAGACCGACACAGTCACTCTTAAACACATTCAGGCACAGTACACATACATATACACACACATACATACACACAGACATTCACAGACTCACCAATTATCAGCCTACACTCGCCTCTACTCTTGGCAAATATTTTACCGCATTTCCAAACAAAGACAAAAAAATTCCCACCATATTTTCTGTTAAAAAACAATCGCTCTTTCAGACATGTAGATAACAGTCGTTCAGACTATACCTCCCCCCCACACACACACACACACGGTTCCATTTATTACTATGTAAAAAGGTCACAATTTTCTCTGGCTATGCGCCCTACCGCTATTGATAATTTTATGCATAAACAAATGGCAAATTTGTGCCACATAAATATGTATTAGCAATTAATAATGTCCCGCATCTGAGGAGATGCCAGGTGCATGCCAAATAGGTCTGACTGGTCTGGGCTGAGATGGTGGCTTTGTGTTACAATACACTCTCCATCTCCTCTATGGTTGCAGCACAATGGCCATTTAGACACACCAGCACACACACACACACACACACACACTAATGTGTACGCAAACGCACGCACACATGGACATTGGACATACGCACACACACGCACGTACACACACACTTTCCATGGACTGAAAATACTTGCCACAAGGGCACCATGCTCTCATTGTGCCACCCTCTCTTCCAACTCCTGCTATGAACCACCAGCATCCATTACAATACACCTCTCCTCCAGCTCCTGTTCTAAACCACCAGCATCCATTACAATACACCTCTCCTCCAGCTCCTGTTATGAACCACCAGCATCCATTACAATACACCTCTCCTCCAGCTCCTGTTCTAAACCACCAGCATCCATTAAAATACACCTCTCCTCCAGCTCCTGTTATGAACCACCAGCATCCATTACAATACACCTCTCCTCCAGCTCCAGTTCTAAACCACCAGCATCCATTACAATACACCTCTCCTCCAGCTCCTGTTCTAAACCACCAGCATCCATTACGAAACACCTCTCCTCCAGCTCGTGTTCTAAACCACCAGCATCCATTAAAATACACCTCTCCTCCAGCTCTTGTTCTAAACCACCAGCATCCATTACAAAACACTTCTCCTCCAGCTCGTGTTCTAAACCACCAGCATCCATTAAAATACACCTCTCCTCCAGCTCCTGTTATGAACCACCAGCGTCCATTACAAAACACCTCTCCTCTAGCTCCTGGTATGAACCACCAGCATCCATTACAATACACCTCTCCTCCAGCTCCTGTTCTAACCCACCAGCATCCATTACAATAGACCTCTCCTCCATCTCCTGTTATGAACCACCAGCATCCATTACAATACACCTCTCCTCCAGCTCCTGTTCTAAGCCACCAGCATCAATTACAATACACCTCTCCTCCAGCTCCTGTTCTAAACCACCAGCATCAATTACAATACACCTCTCCTCCAGCTCCTGTTATGAACCACCAGCATCCATTACAATACACTTCTCCTCCAGCTCCTGTTCTAAACCACCAGCATCCATTACAATACACCTCTCCTCCAGCTCCTGTTCTAAACCACCAGCATCCATTACAATACACCTCTCCTCCAGCTCCTGTTCTAAACCACCAGCATCCATTACAATACACCTCTCCTCCAGCTCCTGTTATGAACCACCAGCGTCCATTACAAAACACTTCTCCTCCAGCTCGTGTTCTAAACCACCAGCATCCATTAAAATACACCTCTCCTCCAGCTCCTGTTATGAACCACCAGCGTCCATTACAAAACACCTCTCCTCCAGCTCCTGGTATGAACCACCAGCATTCATTACAATACACCTGTTCTCCAGCTCCTGTTCTAAACCACCAGCATCCATTACAATACACCTCTCCTCCAGCTCCTGTTCTAACCCACCAGCATCCATTACAATAGACCTCTCCTCCAGCTCCTGTTCTAAACCACTAGCATCCATTACAATACACCTCTCCTCCAGCTCCTGTTCTAAACCACCAGCATCCATTGCAATACACTTCTCCTCCATCTCCTGTTATGAACCACCAGCATCCATTACAATACACCTCTCCTCCAGCTCCTGTTCTAAACCACCAGCATCAATTACAATACACCTCTCCTCCAGCTCCTGTTCTAAACCACCAGCATCAATTACAATACACCTCTCCTCCAGCTCCTGTTATGAACCACCAGCATCCATTACAATACACTTCTCCTCCAGCTCCTGTTCTAAACCACCAGCATCCATTACAATACACCTCTCCTCCAGCTCCTGTTCTAAACCACCAGCATCCATTACAATACACCTCTCCTCCAGCTCCTGTTCTAAACCACCAGCATCCATTACAATACACCTCTCCTCCAGCTCCTGTTATGAACCACCAGCATCCATTACAATACACATCTCCTCCAGCTCCTGTTCTAAACCACCAGCATCCATTACAATACACCTCTCCTCCAGCTCCTGTTATGAACCACCAGCATCCATTACAAAACACCTCTCCTCCAGCTCCTGTTCTAAACCACCAGCATCCATTACAATACACCTCTCCTCCAGCTCATGTTCTAAACCACCAGCATCCATTAAAATACACCTCTCCTCCAGCTCCTGTTCTAAACCACCAGCATACATTACAATACACCTCTCCTCCAGCTCATGTTCTAAACCACCAGCATCCATTAAAATACACCTCTCCTCCAGCTCCTGTTCTACACCAACATCATCCATTACAATACACCTCTCCTCCAGCTCCTGTTCTAAACCACCAGCGTCCATTACAAAACACCTCTCTTCCAGCTCCTGTTCTAAACCACCAGCGTCCATTACAATACACCTCTCCTCCAGCTCCTGTTCTAAACCACTAGCATCCATTACAATACACTTCTCCTCCATCTCCTGTTCTAAACCACCAGCATCCATCACAATACACCTCAGCAGAGAGAGACCAGGGACTGTTTATATAGTAGAAATGCCAAATGCATCCTTATTTCCACCCTCGCTTAAAGTAGTAATCATTGATCTGCCTTGGACGGATTGGAGTTACATTGGTACAGCTGAATACATAACTAATACATACTAAATCATATTGGAACAGGGAACCATGCTCCAAAGCCATACAGGGACATACAGTACACCATCAAGACAAGTCAATGGAGTGGTATCAACCACATAGAAACCATGTTTTTGATGTGTTTGATACCATTCCATTGACTCCATTCCAGCTATTATTATGAGCCGTCCTCCCCTCAGCAGCCTCCACTGCTCTGCAACAATTGATTACCATCTGCTAACACTGTCAGTGTAACCGGTGTGAAATGGCTAGCTAGTTAGCGGTGCGCACTAGTAGCATTTCAATCGGTGACGTCACTCTCTCTGAGACCTTGAAGTAGTTATTTCCCTTGCTCTGCAAGGGCCGCCGCGGCTTTTGTGGAGCGACGGGTAACGTTGATTTGAGGGTGACTGTTGTCAATGTGTGCAGAGGGTCCCTGGTTCAAGCCCAGGTAGGGGCGAGGAGAGGGACGTAAGCAACACTGTTACATCAGCAACATTGACAGAGGTTTTAGGAGAATAACTAGAGCTAAGTATACAGACCCTCTCTTTGTATTACTCAGTACTTTTCTATTCTCTTTTTATTACTTTGTTATTTACTGTTGTTTACTTGCCTACAATTTATGCTAAGATAGAGTCCATGTTAATAGTGACAGTAGCGTCTAACAGTGTGTGTTATTTTAGTCGTATGTCGGTGTAGGGAGAGGGGATATAACCTGGGGAGGCTAGTCCCCCTGTAGAGCACAATCACTATGGTTGGATAAACACAATCACACACACACACACACACACCTCAACTGTGTATCGGGCTCCTGAAGCACACACACAAAAACAAATAAATAAATACAGAGAGCGAGAGAGAGAGAGAGAGAGAGAGAGAGAGAGAGAGAGAGAGAGAGAGAGAGAGAGAGAGAGAGAGAGAGAGAGAGAGAGAGAGAGAGAGAGAGAGAGAGAGAGAGATAATCCATAGACTCTAATCCTTATCCTTATCGACTCAAACAGGAAATACATACAAGAAAATAAACATTTTCCCAAACACACAGTGTCTAAACTCTGGTGTCCAAACACCCAGCGCGCCCTAGACCTTCTGTCTGAGGACCAACTAGGATCACCCAGCCACATAATAATACACACAGGCACAAACGACCTGAGCAGGAAAGGGTGGCTACAGCACTCAAGGGAGTGATTGAAAAAGCTTCTTCTACTTCCCCCAACGCACAAGTGGTTGTCTCCACCCTGCTACCATGAAAGACTTCCACCCTGCTACCATACAGCGGGTAAACGCAAGTATTTCCTGTGACTGTGCCTCAAAACCAAATGTGTACCTGGCCCACCACTCCACCCTGGACTTCAACAGCCTTTACGGCAAGGTCCACCTATACAAGGCAGAAGTGCCCACCTTCGCCCGGATCCTAAAGGACATTGCCCTCAACCGCAGCCCCAAAATCTCACACAGGAGCAACAGATCAACAGACACCTCACCCAGACCAGCGAGACACTCTCCCAGACCTGCAGGACCCCCCCGGACCTACACATAGAGGACCCACGCCAAGAGGACCTACATACAGACCACAGAACCACCAGCCACATCCACACCCCCACCCCAACCAATCCACACCCCACCAAGTCAACCATGCCCACACCCCATTTAGGCCCCCTCAGATCAGACCTATGCCCCTCCTACCCACCCCTTGCCCCCCACTCCCGCATAGAGGGCCTCATTATGAAAGTAACACATACGCCCAGGCCGTGAACAGGCAAACAGGCCCAACCCCCACTCTTACACTAGCCCAAGCCAATGGCATGTACCAGAAGCTCAGCAGTCTCTGCTCACACTTACTGGTCTGAGGCCAAACCACACGACTAACAACATTGGACACTTTATGGAGCACAAAGCCTTCACTATCTCATCCTGGAATATCCAAGGCCTGAGGTAATCTGCCTTTGGCCTAAAGAGCAGGAACCTGGACTTCACCAAAGAAATCAGAAATACAGACATTGTCATCCTACAAGAAACATGGAATAGAGGAGATGGACCCACTGGTTGCCCTCTAGGTTACAGAGAGCTGGTAATACCATCCACCAAACTACCAGGTGTAAAACAGGGAAGGGACTCAGGGGGTATGCTAATTTGGTATAGAGCAGACCTAACTCACTCTATTCAATTAATCAAAACAGGAACATTTTACATTTGGCTAGAAATTCAAAAGGAAATTATATCAACAGAGAAAAATGTCCTCCTGTGTGCTAGCTATATCCCCCCACTAGAATCCCCATACATTAATGAAGACAGCTTCTCCATCCTGGAGGAGGAAATCAATCACTTCCAGGCCCAGGGACATGTACTAGTCTGTGGCGTCCTACATGCCAGAACTGGACAAGAACCTAACACCCTCAGCACACAGGGGGACAAACACATACAGTGAGGGGAAAAAGTATTTGATCCCCTGCTGATTTTGTATGTTTGCCCACTGACAAAGACATGATCAGTCTATAATTTTAATGGTAGGTTTATTTGAACAGTGAGAGACATAATAACAACAAAATAATCCAGAAAAACGCATGTCAAAAATTATATAAATGTATTTGCATTTTAATGAGGGAAATAAGTATTTGACCCCTCTGCAAAACATGACTTAGTACTTGGTGGCAAAACCCTTGTTGGCAATCACAGAGGTCAGACATTTCTTGTAGTTGGCCACCAGGTTTGCACACATCTCAGGAGAGATTTTGTCCCACTCCTCTTTGCAGATTTTCTCCAAGTCATTAAGGTTTCGAGGCTGACGTTTGGCAACTCAAACCTTCAGCTCCCTCCACAGATTTTCTATGGGATTAAGGTCTGGAGACTGGCTAGGCCACTCCATGACCTTAATGTGCTTCTTCTTGAGCCACTCCTTTGTTGCCTTGGCCGTGTGTGTTTTGGGTCATTGTCATGCTGGAATACCCATCCACGACCCATTTTCAATGCCCTGGCTGAGGGAAGGAGGTTCTCACCCAAGATTTGACGGTACATGGCCCCGTCCATCTTCCCTTTGATGCGGTGAAGTTGTCCTGTCCCCTTAGCAGAAAAACACCCCCAAAGCATAATGTTTCCACCTCCATGTTTGACGGTGGGGATGGTGTTCTTGGGGTCATAGGCAGCATTCCTCCTCCTCCAAACACGGCGAGTTGAGTTGATACCAAAGAGCTCGATTTTGGTCTCATCTGACCACAACACTTTCACCCAGGTCTCCTCTGAATCATTCAGATGTTCATTGGCAAACTTCAGACGGATCTGTATATGTGCTTTTTGAGCAGGGGGATCTTGCGGTGCAGGATTTCAGTCCTTCACGGCGTAGTGTGTTACCAATTGCTTTCTTGGTGACTAGCTATGGTCCCAGCTGCCTTGAGATCATTGACAAGATCCTCCCGTGTAGTTCTGGGCTGATTCCTCACCGTTCTCATGATCATTGCAACTCCACGAGGTGAGATCTTGCATGGAGCCCCAGGCCGAGGGAGATTGACAGTTCTTTTGTGTTTCTTCCATTTGCGAATAATCACACCAACTGTTGTCACCTTCTCACCAAGCTGCTTGGCGATGGTCTTGTATCCCATTCCAGCCTTGTGTAGGTCTACAATCTTGTCCCTGACATATTTGGAGAGCTCTTTGGTCTTGGCCTTGGTGGAGAGTTTGGAATCTGATTGATTGATTGCTTCTGTGGACAGGTGTCTTTTATACAGGTAACAAGCTGAAATTAGGAGCACTCCCTTTAAGAGTGTGCTCCTAATCTCAGCTCGTTACCTGTATAAAAGACACCTGGGAGCCAGAAATCTTTCTGATTGAGAGGGGGTCAAATACTTATTTCCTTCATTAAAATGTAAATCAATTCATAACATTTTTGACATGCGTTTGACTGTCTCTCACTGTTCAAATAAAACTACCATTAAAATTCAATCCCTTTTAGACAACTTCCTGGACAAAACATTTCACTGTAATAGTGAAGGTGTAAACTTGGCAGTAGAAAACCTAAACAGTATATTTGACCTCTCAGCTTCCCCATAAAATCTAAAAAACAGAAAACCAAAGAAAATTAACAACAATGACAAATGGTTTGATGAAGAATGCAAAAACCTATGAAAGAAATTGAGAAACCTATCCAACCGAAAACATAGAGACCCAGAATACCTGAGCTTACGCCTTCACTATGGTGAATCACTAAAACAATACAGAAATACACTACGGAAAAAGAAGGAACAGCATGTCAGAAATCAGCTCAATGTAATTGAAGAATCCATAGACTCTAACCACTTCTGGGAAAATTGGAAAACACTATACAAACAACGACTCGAAGAGTCGTCTATTTAAAAAAAACAGAGATTTATGGGTACACCACTTCTCCAATCATTTTGGCCCTATAACAAAGAACAAACAGCAAAAACATATACATGATCAAATACAAATCTTAGAATTAACTATTAAAGTCTACCAGAACCCACTGGATTCTCCAATTACATTGAATGAACTACAGGACAAAATACAAACCCTCCAACGCAAAAAGGCCTGTGGTGTTGATGGTATCCTCAATGAAATTATAAAATATACAGACCACAAATTCCAATTGGCTATACTGAAACTCTTTAACATCATTCTTATCTCTGGCATCTTCCCCAATATTTAGAACCAAGGACTGATCACCCCAAACCACAAAAGTGGAGACAAATTTGACCCCAATAACTAACGTGGGATATGCGTCAACAACAACCTTGGGAAAATCCTCTGCATTATCATTAACAGCAGTAAAAACAATGTACTGAGAAAATGTCAAATTGGCTTTCTACCAAATTACCGTACGACAGACCACGTGATCACCCTGCACACCCTAATTAACAAA